AAACAAACAAACAAACAAAACAAAAAGAAAGAAAGAAAAGAAAAAGAAAATCAATTATTATTTTGAAAATTAATCCCCTTTGTGTGCATGTGCACACATGTGTATGCAGGTATGCTTGCATGTGTGGAGACCAGAGGTTGACTTGGGGTGTCTTTCTCTGCTGCTCCCCACCTTGTATTTTGAGACAAGGTCTCTCACTGAGCCTGCAGCTCGCCCTTTTGGCTAGACCGGCTGGTTAGTGAGACCCTGGGGTCCCTCTTCCAGTCTGTGGCTATCGTGAATACTATGATGTTCTATGCAGGTGCTAAGGACCTGGACTCGGGTCCTCATGCTTACACAACAGGGAGTTTACCCACTGAGCCATCTCCCCAGCACCCCCAAAATTAGCCTCCTGAAACCACAAATCTATAAGTACCAGACTCATCAATATTAGTGTTACAAAACTACGATCATCTGAGAACAATGAAGACTTGAAAGTTGTTTTTATATTAGCCAGGCAGGATAATTTCAGAAGGAAAAAGAGATGTTTTCTTGAAATTAACTCAAATATAAAGACAGTTTTACTTTTTGAATTTAAATTTTAATTTCTCCAGAATTTCATACATGGCTACACTTTGCACCCTTTGTACCCTCCCTGTTCTCTTCCAATGCCTCCCGTGTTCCCCGACCCCTCTCCTGTAACGGCGTGTGTGTGTGTGTGTGTGTGTGTGTGTGTGTGTGTGTGTGTGTGTGTGTGTATCCTGTAGTGTTGCCTGTATGTACATGATTGGGAACCTGACCCCTTAGGATTGGGGACCTGACCCTTTAGGATTGGGAAGCCTTCAGATGGCTCATCCCTGAAGAAAACGGATTCTCCCTCAGCAGCCACTGACTACCTCTAGCTCTTATTAAATGTCCCCCATCCATGGCTGGTCTGGTCTTGCATGAACAACCATATTGTTGAGAGTTCGTGGGTGCAGTGTCCCTGTTATATCTAGAAGATTTTGAAGCAGTGGTCTCAGTCCTCCAGTGCTTACAGTCTTTCAGTAGACAGAAAGTTTTAGATTGTCCTGTGTCATCTAGAGCTTTGCTAAATTAAAGTTTTATTACATCTGGAAGGATAAGGCCAATGATGTACATCAGTTGGTAGGGGCTTGGCTAGCAGGTACCAAACCCTAGATTCAAGCTTTGGTACCACATAAAACTGCATAGTGGCATATGTTCATCCACATAGTGAGTTTGAGGCTGTCCTGGACTACATAAGACTCTGTCTTTAAAAATAAAGAAATAAAAAGCAATGATGGAAAGGGATGCTACAAACAAGAACTACAGGAATGCTAGAGCCACCTGTCTGCCAAATTCTGAACTGAAATGAGATACCTGCTCCTGGACCTTGGACTTCGGGCCCCAAGTTTGCATTTTTATCCACCCCAGCCCTGAATCTCACGTCACCTAGTCCAGGCAGGCTCACCAAGTGCCTTCAGCCAGGCGTTGACATTACCTGTGGGTGTTTCCACCTGTGCCTTTTCCCCGAGACTGTCTCACAGCGTCTGTTCTCACCTTCCACAGAAGCACTTGATTGAATTCTGCTACACTGTCGCCCAGAAATATCTTTTTGAAGGAAAACACGAAGACGCTGTCCCTGCGGCTCTGCACTCCCTTCGATTCCGCATGAGTGTGCACGGCCTGAGCTCAGTGGAGTTGGTGCCTGCTTACCTGCTCCTGGCCGAGGCCAGCCTTGGTGAGTGGGGCTGACTGGAGACCCCTGGAGCCTGTTGAAGTTCTGTATTGATTCCTGACAGGGGCAGGACTCCCTTTTTGGTCTGAGGTCTGGCAAAAGGAGGGGGAAAGCAATGGCCACAGCTGACAAAAATC